CAGGATAGCAGCAAGGGCATCCTTGGAAATGGAGAGTCTGTAAAACCACTGCCATGAAGGGACTCACAGCAAAAATGCCGTGAAGGGAGACTGACTGGTGCCAGGGGCTACGCACTCACACTCCCTACACAACACCCAGGCAGAACTTTGTATCATGAGGGATATTTTCATCAACTACTGCAGGTGCTCAAGAAACTCCTCCACTCTACTTACACACAATCCTCTACATGGAAGACTGAGCAACCTGAAATCCTAGAGGCCAAGAAAACAGAGGGACAGAAGGTCAGGGACTATCCTTAACTACATCCTGGCTAGAGAGAACTGCAGATCACCCATAACTGCAGTGAAAGGAATCAGTTACTGGCAGTCTTCTGGGCTGCACGTGTCTTCTTTCATAATGAAAAATACCTCATTTCCATATCCCGAGAGAGGAAGAAGAACTTGGGTGGAATCCCAGCTCTACTGCTGTCTTTCCAAGACACTCCATCTTCTTTTCCAAGTGAAAAGAATGTCCACTTCCCACTATACTTTGAGTCAATGACAGTCACAAAAGGATAAATATACACAGCATCCCTGTCACAAAGCAGGACTGACACCGGGGGGGAGGGGGGGGCGGGGCGTGTAGCAAAGAGTATAGGAAAAGAGTAGATAATGAACACGGCATTGGAACAGATGAAGGAAAGAACTGTTTAAAAGGAATATATGATTAGGCATTATACATTTACAACAGTCCAGGATAAAACGTCCATTTCAAAGAGGACTGGAGGAGAGAGAGGTCGGGGGAGGGAAGGAACTGTGCAACAATGAATTAATATAAAAAAAAAGTGAACTGGGGGAGGGGATATAAGAAGGTGAAATGTGCTTCAATGAATAAATAAAAATCCAACTTTTCTGTAAATCCTATTAAAATCACAATTAAAATAAAATATTTTATAAAAAAAAAAGTCAGTGGTGAGTTCTGGTGACCTAGCTGCATGTAATCCCAGAGGTGAGCAGTTCGAATCCACCAGATGCTCTGCTGGAGAAGGAGAGACAATCTCCTTCTGTACCAGTCAGATCTGATTTGATGGTACACACACACAAAAAAGTAATAAAAATTTTTATAAAAGAGTCAGTGAATATTTTTTCTGTCCTTTCCTTACCAGCTTATTTCTAAAACACGTATAAGAGTCCCTGCTTTACCAAATCAACCAAGGGTTGTGTTGTTGTTAGGTGCCATATGACTAACAGAGATCCTATGAACTTGCAGGGAACCTAAAATGATATTATTCATGCAATGGTTTCATGAACTGTGATTAGGTAAAGGATTCATGCTAAAAGAGGCTCTGATGGTTGGATTAGTTCTAGACCCTTCACTCTTCCTAGGGAAACTGCTCAAGGCATATTAATTGCTAAAAACGGGGAGAAGATCATTTATGAGGAAGACCACGAAGAGTGAAGAATGCTGCTCTCACTATTCCCAACACTGTCACCATCACTGCTCAGTGTCCTACCTCAAACCAAGACAGCCACCTGCTTTGCTGTGGCCAGGTGCCAGGACTGGCTAGCTGCTCCTGCTTCTCAGGGAAAGGATGTGGATAGTGAATAAACCTCCAATGAGTTGAGTACCTAACCTGTCAAAGTTGTCAAAGTCAATTTTCTCACACCTCTGCCCGCTACACAAGAGTATGTGAGCTCAGCAGAAATAATGGACATATAAATCCTCTGTAAAATGTTAAAGTTTGTCTCCCTATGAATTAGTTGTTGTTGCTAGGTACCATCAACTCAGAATCGACTCATAGCTGGCCCGCCGGTGGGTTTTAGGAGCCTGTAAACTGCACCAGAGAACACTGCCCATCTTTCTCCCACACAGTACCTGGTGGATTTGTACTGTGTGCCTCTGGATTGTGAGTGCAACTCCTTACCACTAAGTCACCAGAACAATTAGTTGCTGTTATGTGCCATTGAGTCAGAACTAACCTAGAGCTTGGAAACCCCTCCAGCAGGTTTTCAGAGGCAAGGAATTGCACAGGACATGATTGCCCACGCATCTTTTGGGAAGTGGCTGGTGGATTTGAACCTCATACCTTTATGTTGGCAGTACAATTCCTTACCACTCAAACATCATGCAAATAAACCCAGTATCCATGATCTTTTTTACAATCCCTGAGATAGGAATCATAAAATTATTAACTTGGATTTCAGTTTTTCACTACCTTCAAAGGGCAAGATGGCACAGGCAGTAAACGGCAGGGCCTGCACTCAAGCCATTCTGGTCTAGTCTATTTTCTACCACAGAGGTGAGTCAATGTGGTAGAACTGCTGGCAGGGAACATTTGGGTTCCTCCCAAAAAGGACAATGTATCAAACTGCCATTACTTTGGTGGCACATGTATGAAATGAAAAATGGGCTTGGCTCATAGAGTGGTTTGTTTTGTTTTGCTTTTTTTTATTACAATTTAAGAGAAGCTTTACAAAGCAAAATTTGTTTTCCATTCAAACATTTATGTATCACTTGTTTTATAACATTATTTACAAGACCCACATCACAGATTGGTTTTGATTTTGCTTTTAAAACCAATTCAAAGATTTCTAAAAATATGCAGGTTCAATTGTGAGCTATTATTTATTTAAGCTACTTTTATTTTCTTTTAAAATTAAGAGAAATGCAAAAAACCTGCCAATTTGATTAATGATTCAGTGTGTGGAGGGAAGCATACATACATACGTAGATCTGTCAATGTATATATGTGATTGTATATATTTCATTTTCAACTCAGTGTGTAATAAATTACAGAAATTTAGTTAGGTTTTAAAATAAGACCTCTGGCATAGTCTTTATAGAATAAATTAAGAAACATCCAGGAGGAAAAGTGTAATCCAGGGAGTAGACTTAAAATTGGAATGCACAAATCCAGGTTTTAAGTCAGAAGTGCCATATGGCTTAACGACAAAAACAACAGTATCCTATCTTCTTATAGACTTCCCCCTCCATCCATCAGACACAAAACCCCTTCAAGGCTCTTACCTGACTCTCTCCTCTTCAGCTCTCTTCAGGGCAGCATCTCGCTGCAGAACCTTCATGATGGTCTCATGTTCCTCCTCCGTTAGGAAACTTAAATCAATCATTTTGAAAAGCGTACACAAAAATAAGAGTAACAAATCAGACTTAAAGTCCTCAGCTTAGCAACCACTACGGCAGGCTAGTTGATGAAAAAGTGCACAAGCAAGATGAAATGTTTTATGGTTTAGTTGTGCAGCGAAAGTCTGGGTTCAGCAAAAGTTCTGGGTGGCTGATGGCAGAATTCTAAGCACCCTTTTCCTATAAGGAAGTGGTGTTGTGAGTGTCAGTCTGACAGACGACGACGAGAAGAGGCTCTCAGAAAGATGCTGCATTCCTCACCACACAGATCAGTCGCTCCTATTCCCACTTCCTTTCTTGACTTTCTCTCCACCCTTGTTGTCAATGTGATGAGAAGCAGCAGCACCTGAGCATCACCTGCATGGGCAATCACGAGAGAGCAGACAGTGAGGGCCAGATCCTATAAGCATTGTTCATTATTACACAGTTTAAAACATGCCTAGGGAGAAAAATGAGCATGTGAGATGGTCTCCGAGATCAGGGGAACCAGTTTTGCCGGCTTTCTGAGCAAATGGCAAATGGGTCATGAAACATGCTCCAACCCAATTCCAGACTGCCAAGATGGTGAGCACGCAAAAATGTCTGTCAATGTTTAACAATCTACTTGAGAGGAGGAGTGAATGCAAAAAGAACCGAGATCTCTCTAAGCAGACTCCTACCACGAACACTAGGCTCAAAAAGCATGCCTTGTGGGGTTTATGAACATAGTCTCAGGGTCACCTAAGAGAAATGAAATAGTTCACAAAGGCAATATGCCACAATTTACCACAACTACTATGGTAAATAGCCACTAGATCTTAAAAGTGGCCATCCTACTATTAGTTTTCATCTAAGCAGCCAAATAAGATGCCACTGTTAGTTTCCCCCATCTGGAAGAAAGACTTAAGGAAAGAGCAGTTCAAAACCCTCATCCAGGGACCACAGAGCAGAAGAGCTAGACAGTACCAGGCTGTCACTATTATCAACTACTCTGATCAGGACCATAGAAAGTACTAGAAAGAAAGGGGACAGGGAAAGTATAGAACAAAAGTAAAAATCATTTAGAGACTGGTGAAATTGCATACAATGTTCCTTAAGTAACTCTCCCAACCTGACACTGAACCCACTTGCAGCCAAACAATAAGCAGTGTCACAAAATGAACAGTAACACACGTGAGGAATACTTTTCTCAAAAATAATCAATTGCAAAGGACTAAAGGGCAGCATATATGCAGAAACAAGGCTCAGAAAGCAAGAAGGGGCAGGAAAGAATGATAAATGAAAACAAGAAACCAAGGGAGGCAGCAGGAATTGTAACCAATGATAGGAAACAAAATGCATGTATAATTATTGAATAGAAAAAATTAATTTGCTTTTACCTTTCACTCAAACAACAAATAACTTTTTAAAAGCCACCCACGTTAAAGAGCAATAAGACTAGGGGAACATGATTCCAGTTGTCATATGGGTTAAAAAACTAAAACCAAAACTTCATAAATATGTGCTTCTTCACAAGTAGGAATGTTCCACTGTAATGACAGGAGCACTGGCAAAAGGCTGACGTAGTTTGCACAATAGTGGGAAATGTTATGTGTCACCATGTCCTATTCCCAACCTTTGCTGGCTATGCAGCCACCTACAAAGTCTGTCTACTTACTCATGTGTACAAACTCTGTAGAAAGAAGAGATGGACTTTTAAAGCATTCTGTCATAGAAAGTACCTGTCTTAAGGCAGGGTCATGAGTAAAATGCTATTCATTATCTGAAACCTAAGAAGAATAAAGATGATGAGACCCAGCAAATGCCATAAATGGGAGGGACTTCAGAGACTTATCCCAGCAACAAATGGACCGCAACACACAGAGCAGATATTAAAAAGCAGATGCTTATTAGTAAATTCTAATGTAGCTCCAATTGAAATGAATATAGAATGAATGAATACACGGATGACATTTTCAAGAATTCCTTGCCTTTTGGCAAAGCAAAAATGCCAAGATGCATTACCTCTAGCATTTGCTAGCATTAAGCAAGTTACCTCTTGGACTCAAGTTTTCTCATTTGTACTTCCTTGAAAGGAAGGCCATAATGATTAAGTGAAATAACAAATAAGAGATAGTACATATTTTAAATCTTGTACCAAAAAAGCTACTAAAAATACACAGCATTAGCTTCCAAATCTACCATCCCTAGCCTCATTTTGGCTTCTTCTCTGAATTTACACTTCTGTTGTATCCAATTAAGACTGAACTTCCTTTCCCCTTTTCTGCTGTCTTCCAATCTCCTCCATGAAGTTCAGATTCTGATGACCTTGTTAATATCTTCTGGTAGTTATTGGTATATCACTCACAGCGAATACTCAAATAAATATTGCCAAGACATTACTTCATTCTTTTTTTTTTTTAGTTTGCATGCCCTTGAGTGCAGTATTGCCTTCTTGATCATCTTGAAAACTATTCATTCTTTAAATAAGCAAAAGCTACTACCTCCAGAAAGCCTAAAATCCCTTAAACCAAAACCCAAACCCACTTCCACTGAGTGAATTCTAACTCGTAGCATTTCTATGGTACAGAGTAGAACTGCAAACTGGGTTTCCAAGGCTATAATCTTTACAGGAGCTGACAGTCATATCTTTCTCCCATGGAACAAATGGTGGATTCAAACCACCAACCTTTCAATAAGCAGCTAAGCACTTAACCACTGCACCATCCTTTGCCTTTGCCTTTGTTGTTAGGTGCCCCTGAGTCAGCACCAACTCATGACTTTATGTAAACTGTACTCTGCTCAGCCCTGCACCAATGTGCTTATGCCATTGTCGCATACATCCTTCTTACTAAGGTTTTACTTCTTTTTCTGTTGCTCTTTTACTTTACTATGTATGATCTTCCTTCGTAAGGAAGAGCCCTTTCTGATAACATGCCTAAAGTATGTGAGATGAAATCGCATCATCTTTGCATCAAAAGAACACTCTCTGGCTGCACTTCTTCCAAAACAGGATCTTCCTGCTCTTTTGGCAGTCCATGGTTACGTGTTCAATACCACGATTCAACGTCATCAATTCTTCTTCAAATGGTATTCATTATCATTAGGTGCCATCGAGGTGAGTACAACTCATAGTGACCCAATAAACAATAGGTCTGAACCGTGTCCTATCCTGTGTCAATCTCACAATCTCTGAGACACTGGGGTCCATTGTTGCAGTTACTCAAGCACCTGGTTGAGGGTCTTCCTCTCCTTAACAAACTGATTATTATTACTGGTTCTCCCCTCCTTCCTTATAACTGTAATTAGAGTAAGCACCACTTGCAGAGTATTCATCCTTACTCTTCTGGTTGGGGCTGGCCCTATGACTTGCTTTGGCCAGTGGAATGCCAGTGAATATTTCATATAGGTTGTAAATGTGCTTGTATGGTACGGCTTGGCTTCTTGTACTCCTGCCATGTGCCCAGGAGTCCTTGTCCCAGATGACCTCTCTCTCTTCAGTATGGCCCCAGAAAAAACAAATGCAAAGGCTAGACCTGTGCCTGATAAACCTGAATGAAGCAAGGCTATTCCAGATGACTAGCAGACAAAAAAAAAAAAAAAGAAAATATTTGTCGCTGAAGCCACTGTGGTCTTCAAGCTCAAATCACAGCTCAGTTTCATCCAGTCAGAAATGACTCATGACTCACTCTCCATTAGATTTCTGGGACTATAAATCACATGAGAGGAGACTATTCATCTTTCTTTGGTGTAATCACTGTTGTTTGTTGTTGTTAAATGCCGTCGAGTCAAAGACAACTCAGAGCAACCCTATGAACGACAGTCCTGAACACATATAACTTTCATCGTTTCTCTAAGTTCATAGAGTTTCCGGAGGCAAGCTATTTCAGAAGTGGATGCCTCTCCTGCTTCCAAGCCTGTTTTAACGGTGGAATCACGGGTAGATTCAAATTGCCAGAGAGGCTTGGCCTTTGGGTTAGAAGCGCAACTCCCCACGGACTAGGATACCAGCTACCACTGTGGTTTTAGAATTGTTAAAATCACCATGGCAGCAGGAACTTGACCAAAACTTGACCAAAAGCTTTATCATCCAGAGACAAACTTCCATTTTCATATTGATTTGTTAGTAATCAGTATTTACCTGCACATACTGAGTCTCTAAAGGTGAATCTAAGAATGAATAATTAAATTAACTAATGATATTTAATCCAAACAAATATACAACATGATTTTCTTCTTTCATAGATAGGTGTTGTCAAAAGATTCAAGAAGAGATTGTTTTTAAGTACAAGGAGTGAGAGGCAGGAAGAGAACAAGGAAGACAATCTGGCAGGGGAAAATACTGATTTCCACACCTTTAAGTAAAAAGAACTACAAGCTAACCAGTGCTTGTGATTAAATATCTAGGGGTAATAAGCTCTTTCTTGGAAGAGGAGGATAATGAGGCAAAGGGCAATGGTCTTATTTTACAGATAAAGATGTATGAAAGGAGTGTGAAGGAATCCAGTCACCACCCAATCAGACCGGGTAGTAAACTGCCCTTGTAGTGCTTAGAGAGCTCTGGCAGCCTAGTGGTAAGATGCTGCACTGCAATCCCAAAGGCATGCAGTCTGAATCCACCTGATGCTCCACAGGTAAAATCTCCTCCCGTGCGATTTACTGCCTCTGAAAACCAGTTGGAGGATCAGCTATGGGTCAGTTCTGACTTGACATCACACAACAAGAGCAACCACAGAATCAGACTGAGGAAGTGAGCTCTCAGATGACAATCAGGACATATTCAGTTTAAATGTTCATTCAATTCCAATATTCTAGGTGCTATCATCCTGGGAGTGAAGTCAATTTTTTTACCCCCATACATTCATTCAGCACATATTATTTCAAATCTACTGTTGTTGTTCAATGATCACAGCCTTCAATAGGGATTATATCTCAACATCAAGAAAACTAAAAATTCACCATTACAAATTACTAAGTAATACCATGATAGATGGGAGAAAATAATGACATTGTCAAAGATTTCATCTTA